TTTTTTTGGCTTTGTGTAAGTCTAGTCCAACGGTCCAAGGCTAATATGCTTAATAGACATGGCCACGACAGGCGCAGAACTAATCATGTCAAGTCCTTTCACCGCGGGTTGGGAACTGGCCCGTGGTTTTACCTGGGCCGGTTTATGTTCACAGAAATATACTTTCGAACCACAATTCTAGTTCAGGGTTGGGTCGGTTTTAGTCCAGGAATCTCGATAGTTATTTTTTATTTTATCAATTTTATTATTAAATTTTTTTTGCTAAATTTCAGTTTTTTTTTTTTTATTTTTGGATCGGGTCGGCTTGGAATATATGCCCGCGAGAAAATTAAATATGGACCATTGGATCTTTTTTACCGTTGGAGATCCAACGATTCAATTTTTTTTTAATTATAAACAATTTTGTGTCCAGGTCCGATTCTAGATCCAATCAGGCCCGCCCACAACCGCCAACAGACAAAATTTTGAATCATTGGATCATTCTGACCGTTGAGATCCAACGGTTAGGATTGCTTTGACCGTTGGGCCAACTCGGAACCAATGGTTCAAAAAAAATCAGAAAATTTAAAATCTCTAAATGCACCTCCACCCAAAATCAGCTAATTCTCACATCAAATTCAACATTTTCTCACTTTTTGCATCTCAGTTCTAAGTTTTTCAAGTGATAATTTTGAGATTTTGTGTCTAGATTTCTATAAAATCTGTCCTATTATATATAAATTCGGTTCAATTTTATAATTCTCTCTCGTTTCAATTTCAGTTTTTATAAATTTTCTACGTAATACTCTCTCGTTTCTAATTTCAATTATTTTCACCTCTCTTTTTTATTTTAAAAATTTTGTTTATGTCGAGTAGTCTTGGTTGTGCTGGTGATCAGCCACCAAAGCATAAAATTGTAGGCGCATCTACGAATGGTAGTGGTAGACCTCCATTGTCGATGCCGACGTCAACAATATACCGAGATGTTCTGGGTGTATCTGATGACATTGGCTCTTAGACGGTTCAATGGATCTTTCACTCCATTGAGCAAATCCACGAGAACTTACAATCGAGGAGAAAGAGGAGGACCAAGAGAAAAATGGTGACAAACATTTTATATGTATTTGCAACCATTGCCCGTCCAAGGCTAAGAAGAACTACACTTTCAAAACTGGCGATGGATACAGAACCATGCAACCGCACATACGAACACATCATACAGCCGAAATGGGGATTCCCACGACCCAATCGCAATATTCGATAAGTAGCACGACATCTGCAACTGGAACAAATTCTTCTACTTTATTTCAAAACTCTCATGAAAACTATTGATACAATCTTGCTCAATTTGTTTATGCTACATCTCTTTTTTTCGGTTTTTGTAAATTTGATTTATATAAAAAATTTGTTCAAATGGATTTAAACTCGGCTGCATCCCGAGCTCCACTTACTACTCTCACTCGCGAAATTTTAAATATTGTGGGTGAGAAAAAAATAATTTTGGCGCAAAAAAAATTCAACAAACGAGTTTCTATTTGTTGTGACATTTGGTCCGATTATTGGCAATATAATCATTATGTGGAAATACTTGTCATTGGATAGATGATAATTTTACATCGCAAAAAGGATTAATTTTTTATACGGGATTTAATAATTTCATGTTGCTTCTAATATCGCTCATTTAATTTCACGTGTCTTGAATACTTATAGAATTTGGTAAAAATATTTTTACATTTCTTTTGACAATGCTAGTGCTAATACTGCATCTATAATTGGGCTTAGAGAAATTTTTCGTTCTTTATAGAAAAACAACAATTGGACTCAAGAAACATCTGAAGTCATTTTCTTCTCATGCTTTCGGGTATTCTTCTTATGGACATCCACAAACGACATCGCAAGCCTCAATCTTTGGTGACCTGTGGTCAAATTATAATACATATAAGAATGCTAAGATCTAAAGGGCAATGGGGGCTACGATGAGCTCGACAAGCACCTCACATTGAATATGATGCTTACGATTGTTAGATCACCAGTTGCGCCACTCAAATTTGATGTCTTGAATTGGTATTAAAAAATGAGCACCATTTATCATGTTCCATGCTTAGTGGCCAAGGAGATTTTCGTTGTTCGACCTCAACAGTGGCAGTTGAACAAATATTTAGTGAGGGAGGATATAAACGGGACACACGGCGACCGAGGTTGGCGCCACAAAACTTGGAGGCTCAAATGGTGTCGAGTGATTGGAAGAAGGTCAAAAGAAGAGCATAGCGACCATGCTAACTACAGAAAAGGATGACGAAAAAGAGGCATATGATTTTACAAGTACTAGTGGAGTCGAAGACGAGTACAAGATCTACGATTACTAGAGCATTCAAGTTTCAACGCATTCTGCCATTTTCTTTATTTTATCAAAAGCATTCAAGTTTCAACACATCGTGCCATCTTTTTTCTTTCATCAAGGTAAGTAAAGTAAGAGAACTATGAAGACTTTAATCCCAAGATAAGGGATACGTAGGCAACTTAATTAATATATTATAAATTAAAATATCATTTTTAACCCAAAAAATGGTTCAACTTAAATGATAACTTATAATATGCCAGCTAAGGCCGTCCAACTTTTCTTAACATTCACTCCCCCCCCCCCCCNNNNAAAAAAAATTTAAAAAACATTATGCCGAAACATGTTTTGTACTGAACATGCCCGACCCGACATGCCGATTTTGAATCGCGAAATGTTGGTTCATTGAACCAACCCATATATATTATTGGACCAATTTAGGTTCACTAAAAACGTGAATCGAAATTAGTGCGGAACTAAAAAATTTCCATGTCTATATTAGCGGCTTGGTAGAGTACATAACACAACTCGAGTAGCATTCTGAACTCAACCATGTTACGGATCAACTTAGCTGAACTAAATTGGGTACTAAGAGAGTGCTTGGATACCAAATATCCAATTACTTTTAATCAATCACTTTTTTAACTCAAAATGTAATTCAAATGTAACTCAAGAAAACTCTCTCAATATTATCAATATATTAAATTACATCAATCAATCATTCTCAAACGTCATAACGATTTTTATTAACAATTAATTTTTTTTTTTTTGGTACAAAATAAGAAGGCCAAGGGCCTAGGAAGGTGATGAGTCTAGGACTCGTGGGGATGCGACACCCCGATAAGATCATGATCAATCCATGCTCCCAAATTGGAGGGAGGGTAAGTCATCCGATGTAGCCCCAACGTAGAGGAAAACGCCAAGCTCGCCATAAAGTCGGCCGCGAAATTAGCTTCTATGTGCACATGTTGAATCTTCACTCGCCAATCTTTTTGTAGCAAGATGCGAATGGCCCTGACCAATGCATCATTAGTTCCAAAACTATCTCCGGGTCCAAGCACCATTCTCTTGACGCACTGACTATCAATCCGACGATAACTTGGCGGAGGCCCAACTCCCAAGCCAATTGTAAACTTTGGAGAAGCCCCCAAAGTCCGGCTCCTGTGATAGTGGTAAAACCAATATTCGTGAGGAAGCCCACGACCCATCTACCCAACTCATCACGAATCAACCCGTCAACACTACTCCGGCCTGTGTTGTTTTGAAAGGCTCCGTCTAAATTCACTTTGACCCTACCTGGCTCAGGCGGAGTCCAACGAATCTACCGCGTGATATAACGTCAGCCCAACCTTTTGAAACGCAGCTGTCGCACGAGCGTGTTAATTCACAATTTATAATCTTACATAACAAATTATCTTCAAAATCACGTGTCTCATATTTTTATATCAAATAAATTTTAATTATTTTATTTTAAATATTATTTTGATACAAATTCAAATTTACTTAAGATCAACCAACATTTTTATAATGTAATCAAAACTCCAACAAATTTGTATCCAACCACGCCCTAAAACCCTTCTTTCACTTCATTTGTCCATCGTGAACCACAAAAATGGCTCTAAACCATACGATTCGCAGGGCAGCTTCGAAAGTTGTACCTTTGGCCATCTGGGCTGCCGCCGGAAGTCGAGGGTACATACACAACCAAGCCGCGCCGGCACTTTCGTCCGCCGTCAGCCGTCCCTCGTGTAATCCCTTGCAAAGGTCATTTCTCCACCTTAACAGCAAGCCCGACTGTGACGTGTCACTCCTACGAGTTATTGAGGCCGAGATCAAGTTTGCCGTCGAGTCCGAGCAAGCGCACCAGGTCCTTTTCAGTAGCTATTGCTTAATTCCTGTATTTGTTTCTTGTGAGTTGTGACCTTTGTAGAAGGGGAAAAAACAACACATGTTTGTTTCTGTTAAATTTCCGTACAAATGTGCCTATGACTCTTTTATTAGATAGTATTATTTTGTTTATGTATCTGCCAAAAATGGGTTTTCGAATGTTTACCGGTTTCTGTATCTTGTCATGGTTCGTTTTCGATATCGCTTCGATTTTGTGTCGTGGTTGCATTTCCATTGGGGATTGTTTGAAAATAAAAATTGAATCTTGTACAAAATCCTTACCTTGGGTGATCAAGTGTGATAGGAAGTGTATATATATATCGTGGCATTTTTTACATATTTGAAAATTAATCCAAATTTTCTACATACTTTGGCTGAATCTTCATTCCGTCTTGCAATCTTTTTTGAGTTAGCATTGATCTATTTCGATTTAGAGTAAATTTCTGTGCATAATAATCACTGGTTTGGCTCTTTCATGGACTCTAAAATCTGTTGAGAAGTTTAAAGTTATAGCATTTAGCATTTACAGCATTTAGAACATGGAGATAAAGGGCCACTGGATTTATCTTATGTTATAGCTCCATAATCTCATTAACTTTCTCTCTTCAATCCATCCAATCCTTGAGCTTAATAAATTGCTTAAGTTCATTGTTACTGTTGCTTATAGTGAAGCTTGTCAAGTAAGTGGCTCAAGTTATTCCGAACTAGTTGCTGTTTTTCTGAATTTTGCTTTATTTCATAGCCGGAGGAGACCCCAGAGGATTTTCCCTTCGAAATTGAAGACTGTCTTCGACAGGGGACCATAATACTGAGAAGAGAATTTGTAGGAGACAAAATAACTGTTGAAGTTCACCCGCCTGAACTTAAGAATGCTGAGGATGATGAAAGCTATAATGATGTTCCGAGAATCCCATTGATTGTTAGGATCTCACATAAGAATGGACCCGTGTTAGAGTTTGGTTGTACTGCTTACACTGATGAGATTTTGATCGAACGCTTGGCCTTTAAGCATCCTGAGATCTCTGAGGATCAGGTTGCTTACGAAGGACCTACTTTTGAGTAAGTTTCATTCAAAATGGTGATTAAAAGTAACTAAGCTTTTTACCTAAATATGAAAATGATGAAAAAAAAATAAAAAAAATCTTGGAACTTCAATATAAACGCAAACCCTGAGGGATATTATTCGTAAAATAACTGGTGGGTTTTTATAATTAGTCTGTTACAACGAACTCTGGTAGAAATATGGTTTACTTGGATTTGTGTGATAATTGAATGTCAAGAGATGCATGCTAGTTCTCGCCTGTTCTCTGTTATTTTCTAGTTAGAAGCTGTTAATTTTCTTTTCTTTTAAGAGTTTGTAAACACTCATTAGACATGTAATTTCGTTTTCTTAAAGGGGTCTGCACATAATTTTTATTGGACTTGTGTGATGTTGTGGTGATTTCTGTGTTATGTGTTTTTCTCGACTAAAATGGATCCCATTTTTCATCAGTGATTTGGATCATACTCTGAAGAATGCTTTCAACAAGTATCTCAAATATAGAGGAATCGATGCCAGAATAACCAAGTTTTTGGTGGACTACATGATCAACAAAGACTCAAGGGAGTACACCGAGTGGCTCAAGAACATTCAGAAGTTTGTTTAGGCTTAAGTTGCTGAGGATTATTTGGAAATTTATCGGCTCTGATGGAGTTCCTCTCGAACAAGGTTATTAATGTGCCTTTTCAATCTACATCTGCATTACTACTAATTAGATCTTTCGCTAGTTTAAGTACTTTTGAACTCAATGAGCTAGCGGTGGCAAATATTATAATCGTGCCTGTCCTGAAATATGAATTGCATGAAGTGGGAATTTTTTTTACTAACGCTCGAGCTTTATTTTGTAAATTTTTTGTATGGAGTTAAATACCTATTTAAGTCGGATTAATGAAATCTTGGGGGATGACATGCTTCCATGTCTTCCTGTTAATATTGCATTTGGTCATTATATTCTGATGCTGATGCTTACACAATGAAATATTAGCAGGAATTTTTTGGTAGTTAGATTTACTGTGTGATCTGTTTTTATGTTTTTGTTTAAAACTTGGTTCAATTTGCTCAGTGTATTTGCAAATTTGCAACATATTGCGAGGTACAAAGACAATTATTTACTAGGTCACAATGTAATTAACTATATATGAAAAACAAACTGTCTGAATAATAAACAAATTGTTATTGCATTATATGGAAATTAATATTTTACAACTGTTTTTTATGTCTATCTCTTGAAAATGATTTATAAATATCTCATTTGTGACATTTTTTACCGAATCATTTCTTAACAAATTGAAAGATCGCTCAAGAAATTGCAAATATTTTTTTCACGTAATTCATTGTAGAAAAACATCTCTATACATTTATAAATATCTCATTTGTGACATTTTTTAGCAAATCAATTTTTAACAAATTCAAAGATCGCTCAAGAAACCGCAAATAGTTATTCTCATAATGGTTATTGCATCACATGGAAATTAATATTTTACAACTGTTTTTTATTCTTGATAATGATTTATAAATATCTCATTTGTAACATGTTTTAGCAAATCAATTTTAACATATTCAAATATCGCTCAAGAAACCACGAATAGTTTTTCAAATAATTCGTTCTAGCAAAACACTGGACCGCGTAGATCTTCCCTCAAGGCGTCTCGCGGCCCCTCCCTAGCGTAGATTCTCGCCGCTCTCGTCGGTTGTCTTTGGCATGGTGATGGTTTCTCGAGCGCCGAGTTGGGTCGAGATGCAAGCTTTCAACTCTGGTCGGTTTGGTCCCCCTCCCCTTTAGCCGTCTCCCTGATTTTCGTGGAGGTTGGTGGTGGTTGGCCATAGCGTTTGGTGGACGGACGGTGGCCGTTTGGTGGCAGACAGAGGTGCTTTGTTGGCAGATGGGGGTGAGGGGTGCCGTCCTTCGGTCACCGGTCTGGGGGTGATCCCTCTGGGAGAAGATTTTGGTCCTATGGCGCGGTGTCAGCTAGTTGTGGCTACACTAGATCTTTTGGTTCGATTCTAGGGCCAAAATCCTATTTGGGTGTGCGGCTGTCTCCAGGAGTCGGTTGTGGTTTGATGTGATTTGTTTGCTGGCTAAGAGGAGGGTGGTAGTCTTTTATCTAGTGTTTTGTGTTGTGGTTGTGTTTTTAGTGGTGTGGTTAGTGTTTTTTATTCCGCTTTGTAGTTGTTTTAGTATCTTCTTGTAGGAGTTGTTATTCTCCTCTGGTAGGAGCTTTTTATTCCGTTTGTTTCGTATGTGGGTGTGTTAGAGTAGTTCTCTATACCCGTTGTTGTCGGGGTTCCTCCCTGGATTCATTAGATGGTTGTTTGCCTTGTCTAGTTGTCATTATTCACTAGATCGTTTTTTTTTTTTGTTT